TTCTGGACAAGATGCTGAGTGACCTGGAGAGACGCCGTGTTGGGTTCATGTCCCTCAGCCTTCTCCTGAGACTCAGCAGCCGGGGGCTTTCTCTGCACATCTGGACACTGTGCCCAACACAGCAGGAAGGGATCCATGGCAGCCTCACTGCCCCACTGCTGCTTTCACAGCCTGCAGGGCTGTATCCCAGCCTGGCCTGGCTGCAGCTTCTCCCCAGCCTCTGCAGGAAGGCATTTGGCATCAGCTGACAGGGAGCCCAAAGTGCAGCAAGGGTCATAAACAACCTGAGATCCCCTGCAATTTCCCGGTCTTGGGCTAGATCAGGTGTAGGGACTGTTTGGAGGAGGGAGGGCCCTGGCCCAGCTTCAGTAACCTGGCCTTTCCTCTTGATCCTTATCCATGATTTGACAAGTATTGCCTCCTGAAGATACCACCTCACCTAATGGCAAACAGTTCTATCTCATCCAGCTGTCCCTTTTCCTTTCTCAAGTGCTGGAGGAAATGTCTGTGCAGACAATGACATATGCTAGAGGAAGCAATGTCTCTGTGCCAGCTCCTGATGCAGGAAAGGAGGAGATGCCAGGCCCAGGCACAGGAGGTAATTGCTGTGCTGGGCTCTCCCTCGGCCGGGCTGTGTGCCAGTAACTCTTCCCCCATGGCTGGCCCTTGCATGGGTGAGCAGCAGCCAAAGCTGGAGGTGCTGCAGCTTCCAGGCCTCTGGAGCTCATTCCCAGCCCCTGGGAAATGGGACTCATTCACCAACATCCATCCCCAAGCAGCTGCTCCTGGAGCTGGCCCTAAGCATCCAGAGGCCCAAGGCACAGGAGCAGCCCCGAGTGGGAGCCCTGCTGTGAGCCCAGGGCCACAGCCAGCCCTGGCTCCCAACTGGGCAGGGGCTGCACTGGCCCCTGACAGGGCCTGGCTCTGTCCCCTTGGGCTGGGGGAGCTGTCATAGAGCAGGGAGGGTCAGGGGTGGCAGTGGCTGCTCAGGGATGGGTTTGGCCCGTGGCCCTGGAAGGAGCCACTGCCCAAGCAGCTGTGCTGTCCCCGGGCTCTGCTCCCGGCCTTCTGGGCTTTGTTGGGTGTCACAGCCTGTGCCAAGGGGTGGCAAGGTGCCTGCAGGCCCCAGCTCTGGGGGAAACAGAGAATGTCCTGGCCATATCCAGTGTGCTGCCAGCTCAGCCGTGGAGCACAGCACAGGCTCTCACTGCCCATTGCTCCCACAGAAGCGCTTGGCAAGTCCAATATAAATGCTGAGAATGCACCGAGCACCCCAAGAGTGTTCTGCCCGCAGGATGTGCGCAAGTCCTGCATGATAGGCACTGTAGTGACACTGTTCACAGTGCCCCTTTCCATGGTCCTCTGCTATGTTGGATTCCGGTGGTGGAAGGACAAGAAACGGTAAGTTGTTGTTCATCCCCACCCTCCAGCTTCTTGAAAGGCTGCTCATAGTCAGGAGACATTCCCAATGAGGCTGCTGTGGACTTGTGGATAGTCCTTGGTTGTCCAAAACACTCTGCTGAGAGTTCTGCTGCTGCCCAGGCCTTTCATTGGCCTCTTAATTGCTGGGCCTTGTCCTGGGGAGCCCGCTGGGGCTGCAGCCAGTGCTGGCTGCCACTGAGGCTGCCTGGCCAAGAGCAGCCCCAGGAGCAGCGGGCAGAGGCAAAGCAAGGTGGGCAGGAGAAAGAGCAGGGACGAGATTGCCCTTGACAGGCAGAGGTGCTCTGGGGCCCGCTCCTGGCCAGGGACCCTGCCCAGAGCCATCCCCTGCTCTCCAGGGCCTTGAGGGGCAGCTGTCCAGCTGGGCCAAGCTGTGCCAGCAGCTCCAGCCGTGCTGGGGAGCCTTGGCAGCTCTGGGCCCTGCTGTGCAGGAGGGTCCCTGTGTGCCAGCGGCAGCTGGGGGCCTCAGCCACCTCTTCTCTCCACAGTCGCCCTGCTGCAGCTCCAGCTTCCCGGCCAAGAAGGCGCGACTCTCCCTCGCCCCCAGGGAGCCCAAAGACTGTCCGGTTTGACAGCTCTCAGACGTGGCCTCAGAAGGAGGAATCGTTCCAGAAAGCAGAACACCAGCACTCCGTGCCTCCTCCACGGCCCCCCAGCCCGGCTGTGAAGCAGAAGCCCCCTGAGATCCCCCCACCTCCTCCCCTCCCGAGCCGGCCACCCTGGTCCAGTTAGGACTGAAAGTGGGCCAGCCACGGCAGGGCTTGGGCCACCAACAGCTTGGGCCATCTGCTCTTGGCTACAGATAACACGTTACCTGTGGGTAACAGCCAGAGGCAGTTTTCCTACTGTTTTACTTTCAGCAGGGAAGGGCTGAAGATTCTTCCCATGCCCTGTCTCATCCTTCACTCTTTTGATTTTCATATAGCTAGGTGCTTGCTGAATCTTTTCAAAGAACTTTATTAACACTTCATGTTTTACCCCACCTAGCAAGGGAAAAAAAAAATAAAAAAATTCCTCAATTTAGACTTCATTTTTACTGTGGTTGAGCCTCTCAGATTTTGAGCAATTGATTTTCCATGGTACTTCTTCCCTTTTCCTTTCCATCTACCAAAAGTTCATCTGGACAGGAAAATCAACAGAATTACTAAGATTCACCTCAAAACCCAGAAGAGAATCTAGCACAAAATATTCTCCCTGTGTACTGCAAAACAAGAAATATTCAGAGGAAAATACTGTGGGAGCTGAGGCTCGTGGAGCTCCCAGAATCCTGAGCCTGCAGAGGAGGCAAACAGCCCTGGCAGTGGCTGAGGGGAATTCTCCTCACAGACTCCTCAGAAAGTGTGTCACTTCAGGAGGGGAAAGCTTTTAAACTTTGCCTTACCTTCCTCCTGTGCTAAAATGTAAGGCTCCTCCTGAGAAAATACTGAGCTACAAACAATTCTCTGTTCCTCAACAAAGCTACTCAGGTGCTCGACTTAAAGAGTAAAACTAAATGTGGTCAGAAATTTCCCATCAAAGCCCATTTGCAGAGAAACCCCACCATATGTGAGCAAATATTTATTAGCACGAGTTCACCCTAAAGATTGCTCCTTTTTTGTCCCAGAGAGAATATTAGAACCATTTGCTCTTGACAGGACTCCTTGGATGGCCCCCAGACCTGGCTCCTCACCACGCCTTGCCTGGGCTGTTCATGCAGCCGGGTAGCACCACCTGACTTTGCCACCCTGTTCAGACCTTGGGCATGGCTGGTGCCACGGTCCCCTCTGGTGCCACCGTCCCCTCTGGTGCCACAGTTCCCTCCTGGATTTGTGACGGCGTGTCCCTGCTGCTGGAGGAGTCCTGCTCGTGCTGCTGCCGGCGTTCAACAAGGCCGGTGCTGCTCCCCAGCTGAAAAGAGACTAAAGTCACTGCTTTTGGCAGCTCATTGGAACGAGTTCAACACTTCCTCATCTCTATCACAGATAAAAACCCACATACTCCTAAAACCCACATACCAGCATTATAAAGCCACCTCATCTACAGAGGTGAGGAGGCCTGAGTGAACAGAAGGTCGGCTTTCAAGCACATTGGCACTCAGTTGTTCACAAGCCTTATTTGTCAAACTGGACTGTGCGATGCTATTCTCTTGTTTGTGTTAAAAAGGAGCCAGGGAGAAATTAGCTAAGAAACCAGAAACATTTGAGGCTCAGGCCTGGTGCACAAATGGAGCAGGGGCGCACCTGCCCGTTTTTCCCGCATCCCTTTTCCTGCCGGACAAAGGCGGACGTGGCTCCACTGGGGGCACCATGGAAAGGGTTCTGATCTGTGCTCCCTTCTAGATTGAGATCAGAACATGGATTATCTGGAAGCCCTGGCACATGGCAGTTTGAGATCCATGGAGAATGCTGGAGGCAAGTTCTCAGTGTCCCTTTCCACACAGAACAATCAGTGTCAATGTGGCAAGGGCTCACTCACATCCATTGCCTCCTGAAGATGCCACCTCCTGTAATGGTTAACAGTTCTTATTGTTGTGGTGTGTTTTGTTTGAATGGTTTCTCCCATTATTCCCCTAAGTCATTGGTTTGCTCCTAGTTTGTATCTTCCTACCCACCTATCAAATCCTGCCTCAAGCCCACCCCTTGTTTTCTCATGTTCCCCATCTGTCATTACACCCATTTGTCAGTCTTCCCTTAGGCCAGCCTCCTACCTGAGCCACCCCTCTGGAAATCCCCTGATCTCCAATGCCCCATTGGCCCATGTGACCCACTCTGCTCCCCTTGTTTCCCCTATTGTATTGTTGAATGGAACCTTCCACTCCTCCCACAGCTTCTTCCTATTGGTTAAAATTTTGTACCCTCCCTCTGGCCTCCCCCATATAAAAACCCCCACACAGTTGTGTTCTCAGTCTTCAGTCCCTGGACCCTGCAGTGGAGTAAAAGCCTTTGGAACCCATACTGGAGGTCTCCTCCTCATCCTTGTCTCCACCATGCGCCTACCAATATCCTTGTGCCGTGGAGCATTTGCTCTAAGCCGCACCTTGGGTCACCCCGCTGCCGAGTGTCACGATCCCCTAACACAAGTGGGAGTCGTGAGAGGTTCGTTTGAGCTCAGAGTGCAAAAAGGACACCAGGGGATTTCAGTTTAAATCACAACAGCAATAATGCACCTTTATTTTAGTGCCAGCAACATGGGTTGTGTGATAGATGAGAGGGGGAGAGAAAGAGGGAGAGAGGGAAAGAGGGAGAGAGGGGTAAAGAGCCAACGTAAAGAGAGAAAAGAGGTGGTTATAGTTACCAACAGACGAGATGGGGTCTCCGGTGTCTTCTTCCATGGGGAGATCTCTCTTGA